GTCCTGCACCCTAACCACTAGACCACCAGGGGCCCCTCGAACCCGGGTCGCAGCGGTGAGAGTCCTGCACCCTAACCACTAGACCACCAGGGGCCCCTCGAACCCGGGTCGCAGCGGTGAGAGTCCTGCACCCTAACCACTAGACCACCAGGGGCCCCATTATTATTATATGCAGACCCCATAGTGCAACAGTAAAAGGCTTTATTCCACATTATAGCAGATTGTTGCCAAGACCTGTGGAAGGAATTTTACTCTTTATCCCCACTTTTTTTCCTCTTTTGTGTGGTGGCCATAAATCTATTGAGGAGAAGCCTTACAAATGAAGAACTTTGCCTTGTATAGGCTGACTAGAGTGTTCTGGGACACACAAAATTCCTTAGAAGATGGACTTTTTCAGAATTACACACTTGATATTAATCTCATGGGATGGAGAAAAGTCTCTAAGTAGATGTGATCCTACTTGGAAAACTGAGAGGGCAGTTAAGAGTATCTGTAAATAAAGGATCTTGACGGTATTTCAGTTATGACTTCTGATCTCCTGCCAATATGAAAACTCCTAACTTCAATTGCTTTCTATTTTATTTTTAAATGAAAATTTAAATAATTAAATTCTTTAGCCCTAAGAAATAAGATTTATTATCAAGTTGATTAAATTTAATAAATGCTTGGTAAACAGAACTGTATTTCTGTATGAACTTTTAAATGACAGATCCAGGTTATTTGGCCATGTTTTGTGTTCTCCCTGTCCCTGAAAATGATATTTAATAGCTTGTGATGACGGCAACAGGAGAGGCAAAGGCTGCAAATTCAGAGTAAGGAAGGGAAAAGTACTTAGTTCCCCAAAGAATGAAGCAAAGCTTTGTTATTGAGTCACATAGTAGAATGAAAGTAAACATAGAAATGCTTGTGAAAGTGCAGATGTGCACACGCACCGTTAAACTCAACATCAGTGAAAAGCTGATGTATTGATGTTTTCTGAAGGTACTTGTGCTCAGTCTTCAACCTGGTTGTTCTTGTAGAGCATTGCTTACTAGTGAATTACAAGAGGTGATTAAGCTTATTAAAGCTTATTAAGCTGATATATTGATTACTTTTGTTTTTCTCACAACCTCTCCAGTTAAATTCCAGTCTAGTTTTCCCACAGCTCTTGAATAGGTGTTGTTTTCATGTTTCCTTTACAGTATTGCTTGGTTTTTCCTTATAAAAATAACTGAGTAGAAGAAAGAGAACGGTGTATAAGCTGTAGTGCGTCTGATGCATTGAAGAAGTGGCTATTGGTGGTCAATAAGTAGGCCTTATTTTTCTTCACTTTCAGAATGCTAAGAAGTAGCTAAAATTACCAGAAAAGTGTACCTAGTCCTTTATTTTCATAGCAGAAGTGAAAGAATAAATTTGTTTGATACATACTTAATGAAAATCAGATGAGTTTAATTTAATATTGGTTTAACTGCAGCATGCAGAAACGTTTTTCAACAGGTGTTAGCACTTGTCGAGCAGGAGTCTGATTGGAAGAAATTAGAAAAGAAAGGAAGTCCATCTTCGGGCAAAGGAGGGAAATCACAATGAGGAGTAGCAAATCCATTGCCATATATCATAAATGGATAGGTGTTTATTTGCTGTTCTTTTTCTTATTCATAATGGTGGTGTCAGATTCTTTGGCACCTGTTTTTCTGCATTCCCATTCCGTAATATTCCCAATGCACATTAATCAAAATTATTTCAGGAACAGTATGGATATCATATTGTATACCTATGGCATGTTTTGCAAAAAGAGTTATTTTTTAACTATTTACTGTAGTTTCTATGAAAGCATTTATTTAAAAAGCATCTTATTCGAGATGGTCCTTTATCAGTCTAACTGTTACACTTTACTGGAATCTCTATGTATAGAGAGATAAGATCAGCATAGTGTTAAAAAAGTCAGATTTTTTTTAAAAACAACAGCAACAAAAAGTAAAAAAAAAATTTGCCTTGCACAGAATGCTTTCTACTATTTGAAAGGTAGTGTTGGTGGGAAGAGTGACAATAGCTCATTTTAAAATGTTTCTCTTTGCTTTAGGGAGGTATATCATACCAAACGAATGCAGCACGTCATCACTGTAAAATGGACTTCAGATAACAAATATATTCTGTGTGGCTCAGATGAGATGAATATTCGCCTGTGGAAAGCCAATGCTTCTGAAAAACTGGGAGTGGTAAGAGTTGCATTTTGCTTTTTGTTATCACGAGATGTTTGGGGTTTTTTGTTGTTCTTACAGCTGGTTAACCTGTTCAGCCTTAAAAATCTTGTTTCTAAAGGGAAACGGTAAAATTGTAGTTTGACATTTGTGTTTAATTTGCAGACTGACATGTGCAGTACAGCTCATTGCATTTACTGTGGTCTGTAATAATAATAATAAAATTACATACCTCATTATTGTTACACAAGGTGACTTTTTTTGGTCTTGTTTAACAATAATCATCAGTTCGATCTAAACTTGAGTTGAGTTTTTAACCTGTGTGCTAAAGGTTAGAATTCATCCCTTTGCACTAGAGAAAAGGCAATAAATTCTGCTTTGCCTTACTTAAGTAATTCTGTTGAAGTTTTGGGTTACTACATTTAAAATTTTTGACTGGTATGTGATTGGTTCATATTTGTTCATGAAGTTGGTTTGTTCAAATAAAAAAAAAGATAAAAATTTAAAAAAATCATACCGTGATAAGTCTGTGCATTGTAAAATAAACCATTGGCACTGATGCATAGGTGAGATTGTCATTAGCCTGTGTAACTCTCAGATACCAACTGGGCAAACTGGTGTGGTGTCTGAAGTCCACTGGATTCAATGTAAGTCTGTTTGGTTGAAGTGTCCCTAGTAGGAACAGACACCAGTCTAATTAAACAAGTCTTTTCAGTTACACTTGTTCAAATGTTTATGTATAGACAAAGCCAAAATATTCCTTTATGGTTCCCAGCTCTATATATTCATCTGCACAGCTGGAAGTATTGAGTGACTGTGGAGAATGAATTTGACACTTTGCTGGGAGTGATCCCTTTATGTAGCTTCATATTGTTACAGTGTTTTGGAGGTGCTTACAATGCTTTTTCTGAGCCTACTGGCACAGCTGTCAGATAATGCCTGTGGGGATTTCTGCTTGATCTTGTGAAAGATTGTGGGGAGAGGAAAGGGAAGCTGTAATTCAGGGAAGAATGTTGTGCAGTTAAGGGGACATCTATTGCATAGTTATGTCTAGGGCTGCTTGTGATTACCTGAAGCTCCATCAGCTTATAGTATCTGTAGGAGGGAAGTGGAGCAGAGCTGGGAGAGGTGGCAGGTGAATGGGAGTAGTAGAAGTACTTAGAGCTACTCTGTGGAATGGGACAGTTCATGGATTATTGTGCACTGTGAAGCACTGGATATGGAATAGCACAGATAAAATAACATGTAAATCTTCAGCCATGACCCCACCATAGGTTTTGGGAAGTCCTGTTATTCTCATTTTTGCTATAGAGCTGTAGGTAAAAAACCCACAGCTTTGTGTACTGTGCAGTAATTGTGGTTACAAACTACTATTTAAGTTTGTAAATATGAATTTTTTTAAACGTGGTAACTTCTTTTTTTGAGGATGCCTTTTTTTTCCTCTTCTGCGTTGATTCTTGGGATTTTCCCATGTGGTCAAACACAAATATCAGTCCCATACTTGCTAATTCCAGGGGCTCCACAAAGCTCCTTAGAGACTTTACTTTTTGATTTAACTTTTTATGTTGAATTTGTTTAGACAGTGTGGGATTGGGCAGAAATTATTACCTGTTTTCCTTCTGTTGTATCCATATGCTCATGGCAACAACCTTTTCACCTGATTTTACAATATTAACTGAAACTTTCTCTGTTTATTCACTATATTCTTAGCGAGAGATCATGATCTCTAAGATGTTGTTCTGTAACAGAATTGTCTGGTAATCTTGATGTGCATCTTTACTCTGTGCCCTCTGTGTGAAGGTCAAGTGGGTAAGAAAAATGTCAGAAATAACATTTTCATATAGAAGGGTTCCTGATATTTTCAGATGTGAACAAAAAATTCACTGTATTGACTATTAGATGGTATTGGCTCATTTTCTTCTGAAAGACTGAGGATAATTGGCTCTGGGAAGTAATGGGCAAACCCACCTCCTTCTGCATTATAGAAATACTGTGTACCAAAAGGACAACTAAACTATTGTTTAAGTATTCAGAATGTAGACTGGTAAACGACATTCTACTGTTTTCTGCAGTATTTGCATCAGTGAAAATTGGCCATGGATATGCCTAAAAAAGGCACTACTAGTTGTGGCTATTGGCTGTTGGATGTGGTCTGCACATTAATACTTGTGTTCCTTGGCCTGACAGTGAATCCTACATAAAACAGCCTTTTTTGTTTTTCTGTAAGTTCAGTTTTGTTACTTCATATGCCTCTTGGAAGCTGTTGCTACAATTTGGTTCTGCTCTTGTGGGATCAGACCAAACAAGCTTTTGTAACATTCTGTGTGGAAGGGTGTGTAAGCATTTCTGTCAAAGCGCTTTGGCTGTTGGCTCCCAAGAGAGCTAAATCAATATCTGTCTGTGACACAGGTCAAGTGACATGTGGTTTACTACTTGATTTTTTTTCCCCTCCTGTTTTTCGAGTTAGTTTTTTTGGGATTCATTTTTTGTGGGTTTGTTTGGGTTGTTTTTACTGTCAGAAGTGAAAGTCATCCCATCCTTTAGAATACAAAACTTGTCGAGGTATCTTAGAAAAAACACCCCGCAACAACAAAAGACATCTTAAGAAAACAAAATTATTTAGAAATACAGGGAGAACTTAAAAGGGACAATAGTGTATTATGTAGAAAAACTGCTCTCACTTCTCGTGGAGAACATCAATGAACTTGTAAAGAATTACATTATAATGAGAAGAGGTAATGTTTCAGATCCCCGAATCTTGTGTGGAAGTGTGTTCAAGCATGAGGTTGCTGAAGCCTTGAATGTAGCAAGACATGGAATTTGAATGTCTGAAGCTACTATAGTTGTTAAAATTTTTTCTTTAGAAGCACTAAGAAATTTTATTTTTCAGCTATTTAGAGTAATTGTTGCTAATAGGACTCAAGAGTAGTATCCTCATGGCTTATCACAGTCTTGGATATACCTTGGAAATGTTTGGGTTCAGGCAACTGTGCTGTTCCTTGTTTGATCCAATCTGGTAGTTCCTGATATTCTTAACATTGCAGTTGTTAATGCTGTTTAGCAGGTTCCACTACTTTTCTTCAGTACCTGCTTCTTCTTTTTTTATAGGATTGATGTTCTTATCTTCACAGGCATGTGCTTGCTCCTTTTATAAGTGTCCAGTTCTTCCACAGTCTGTGGCTATTTTTTGAATGTTTTGAATATCCAGAGCTGAGCATTCAGTAATTCTGTCAGAAGTGTCAGAATATGTCTTAAATGCTTAGTTGCTTGGTCTGCTATTTTTCTTTGCTGAGAAGACTTGATTGAATGACTCATCCAAAGGTCACTGTATTTCTGACATAATGCTAAAATCTTGCAATACATTGTATTTTAAGATGGATATTTTTGGGCTCAGGATGAGTGGAAACCAACATCCTGAAAGAGAAAGAAAAATAGTAATCAAACCTTTTTTTTTCTTTGATGAGTACGTAGCCTTAGTTGTTTTTTAGCATTACTGGGTTCCAAGGAAGTTATAGTGAACATACAGTACTCATGTTGTGGCTGCTGAACATTTATCCACTTGGAAAGTTGTACTTTCTGAACCGTGGCTGTCCAAGCACTCATCAGTTCTGACATGCATGTTGTCTTTTGGGTTTTAATTTATTTGGCACTGCACTCATTATTCAAAATCATTGAAACATGAAAGAAAGAATAAAAGTCTCTTGAGGAGCCAGAGGCATCTTGTGTCTCTACTCCACTGACAATTGAACCTGCGTGGGTTTTGCATAGGGGTAACAAACCCCAAATCTCTCTGTTGGAGATACCGCAGAAGTTGCTTTAAAATAATTTGCAATATTTACTTTTTAATAAAAATTGATTAGTTGACAAATATGTATTATTAAATAGGACTTAACAGGTGTTATTTTTAAAGCAGTAAACATCTCTCTCTGCATGTCCAGAAGCAAAAGACTCAATTAAACAAGACTTTTGAGAAACTGCGGACTGTTCAAATACTGTACATAAAATATGGCTTGTTAAGTACGTTTGAGGCTTTTTTACCTGTGCTCTTGAAAAAGTTTGGGATTTCTGAAAGGTAAATGATTTTGACTTTTGATGAAAAGAGGAAAATAGAGCCTCAACTGAGTGAAAAGGCTGGAAAAGCAGCAGTAATAGAGTAGACTTCTGTTAATAGTGTACAATTAATGTAATTAATACAAAGAAAGAGATAAATTAGATAAAAGGATAGATTAGAAAAGACATATTAGGGTTTTTTTAATTATAGTGAAAACAAAGAACCATCAGTAAAACTTTTAAAAGCTGTATTGCTCTTCAGTCTACTGACACACTAAAAAAGAAATTATACCCACAGTTCTTAGCGTATAAATGCTTAGTAACATTACTTCAGAGAGTTACTGCTGCAAAATTTGGCTGTGTTACAATTCTGAATTAAAACAGAGCACTGGACAATTGAATAAGATAATCTTCTGCTTGGTATTTCAGTAAAACTAGTGCTGAGCATAGTGCTAGTGGAGCATAGGTTTGCTGCTTTCTTACAAGATGCAGAAATAACAGATTTGAGTAAAGTTGGAAAGAGAGGAGGAAGTGCAGTTACGAGTCTTGGTTTTGATCTAGCAAAGTGCATTAGCAGTAGCACATCAAAACTGTCTAAAGTAATTGTTTATCCTTTCGGTCTGGTTCTAGTATTTCCATTTTCTGAGGTAATGCTGATAACAAGCAGTACCAGATACTGTGTGACATGGCATTCTTTTCATAGTGATTTTGGGCTTGTGATTGATTCAGTGCACCTGTAACTTCAGCCCTTTAGCTATGATTTTGTGCTCTTAACATCCACATTGCCTTACATTACCTTTCTTTTTTTATTTTTGTCATCCATTTAGATGTAAAGAAGCCAAAATTTTTTGGTCCAGGAAACAGTGAATAATAAACTTAATGGCAACAGATTTAGAAAGGTGTTTTCAGCAGAGCAATGGAAAAATAAATGAAGAGAAGCTATGGTTTAGAAAACTGCTGGGATATGTTTCGATTCTAAAAATATATTACATCAGTGCTCTTGCCTGCCCTAATCTAGAAGGGCAACCTGAAGAGGACTGATAAACATTAATTTCATATTCTTATGCTGAATTACGGAAGTCTAACAGCGTGGAGTTTTAAATACTGCACAGTACAAATACAGCTCTCTTGAAAAGGATAATTTTTTTTTTTAAAGGTGGTTTTAGCTCTTCAATCAGGGCTCTGGAAAAATGCTTACCTTCCATTTAGATGTGAAAAATAACCAGCCTCCATCATTAGGAGGGAGGAGAGAGACATGGGCAGTTTATTGGAGGAGGCATTTTCCTATTGCTGGCAACTTGGTTGCATTTAAAGATTTCTTTTTCTCCCTTTTTCACTCTAGGTATTCACTGTGAAGTGGCACAAATCAGTTCTCTTTCTGCCACACAATTTTTACTTTCCTCATGTAGGAAGGAAGTTGCACATTCACTTAAATGTGTATGAAATTGAATGTATGGAAAGAAGAGTCATATGTCATCTTTGAGCATGTCTCATGATGTCATATAAATCCCAATTTTTTATATTATACAGTGTTCTAGTCCCTATAAACAAAATCTCTAATCCTGCTAAATCATGCTGTGCATCTTCTCCAGCCCAAAACAGAATGGGGAGTAATGCTGTTCTCTTCAGCTGTTCACGTTGACCTTTGTAAAATGACTTGCAAGAGAGAGGTTGGAATTCAGTGGATTATTGCAGTCTGCTTTCTTAGCTAGCTGCTATCTCCCATAAACAGAAACTTGTCATTACTGCAAAATTTTAATTTTCTTTTACCATCATGTAGATGAGGGTGCATTTAGCACAGCCTGGTGTTTTGTCCACTGGCATTTGATAGTTGGATGGAAAGTCACCAACTGTGTGCCTTTTTGTATACCACACTGCACACAAAAATGGAGTCAGACTCAACAACCTCTTGATCTATATTAATTTTTAAAATAAGATATCCTGGATTTATCTTTAATTTACAGATTCACCTCTTGTCTGTAGAATCATCAAGGTTATACTAAATCGGCAGCAATTTGCTTTTCTTAAATTAAAGGAAAATCATTGCATTTAATTAAAATAAAAGCTCTTTAATTTGGATTACGTTGGCAGTGTTCTGCAGAGTGGGAACACCTGGGATTTATTAAGAGTGAACCAGCTATTCAGGTTGGCTCACTAGAAGGAATTTCAGTAAAAAGCAGAGGGTGCAGCTTTAGTGGGTTAGGGTTGTAAAATTTACTCTGTTTCACTTAGAGAGGTCACAAAAATATAAGTAAAGCAAAAAGATTTGGGTTTTCCGAACAAGAGGGTAGAGTGAAACAGAGGTTAAGAGCATTATGTATCTCTGAGGCCTGAATAAGAATTTTTTGAGCAATGAGCAACTCTGCATATGGTACCTGGTTTCTTTATTGTGCAAATGAGAAAATCCTTTGCTATATATTTTATCAATACTTGCTTTCAGACCATTTATGGTATTCCAAACCAAAATCTTCTGAGCATGATATTTATTTTTTCAGAATTCATTAAATATTTTAACAGAAGTCACTTATAAAAGGGGAAAAACACATTCCATTTATAATGTAGGTGGAATTTCCAAACTTTCTGTGTGTAATAAAGTTGTTGCTTTTGTTACTGCTTTTTTTTCTCTTAGCATCTGAAACTTGGGTTCTGTCTTTTCTTGAAAATAAGAAATTAGTGAAACTGAGTCATTTTCAAAGCTGAATAAATAAAAAGTTGTCTGAGTTTTTAGTATTTTAGGTGCAGATGGTAGTGTGTGAAATAAATGTGAGAGGGCAAAAGACTTGTTCCACAGCTAGTTTGAAAATGTGTCTGAAACATTGGAGCTATAGAGCATATTTTGGGCAGGAGGGTAGGAAAAAAAAGAGAGTGGGATTATCATCTGTTAATATTTAATATTAACAGATTTTATGTTTATGTGAAAATTCACTAGACTGAAATGCAGCTGAAATTCCTAGAGATCTGAGCAAATCCGAAATACATAGAGACTGATATTCCTCATGAAGAAGTGAATGCTTTAGGCAAATACACAGCACACACATATTTTTTTCCTTTCGATAAATAAGTATTAGGACCCAAGAAAAAAATGCCTAGTTGAAAAAAAAATAATATTCTGTAGGTTGGTTGTCGGGAGAAGGCGTTTTTCTCTTCCAGGGTTGTTAATGGTGGCTCAGACATAATTTTGAACATGGATAAAAGATTAGTCTTTTGTGGCAGCACTGGCTCACCTGAATTTCATGTTTGTGACACTTAAGATTTTTTTAGCAGCTTGATGAAAGTGGGAACTCCCTGGTGTCATACAGTGAAGCTAATACTTGAAATCTGATGTGTGCACCGTGCTTCCTAAGGGATCAAGGCGCTGGGTAAGATTTAGGCCACCTAAAAAGATGTCGGTAAAGCTGTTCATTAAGGCAGTTCATTTACAGCATTTGTACTTGCACTGGCTAGTGATTAAAATGCCTGCAAATCTTTGTTTTACAGGTAAAGTTGATCATCTCAGATTAGGGAAGACTGATCAATGAGCTTTTACTGTGTCCTATTTGTATTCCCTCCTGTTTTTCTACAGCACATTAAAATATGATTTTCAGGAGTTAAGTTTGGTTACTTCACTCAACTTTGAAACTGTGAATAAACTTTTGTGTTTGAGCATTGGGATATTGTTGGAATTTTAGGGTTTTTTAATATTTCCCTACCCTAACTCTGAAGATCCTGTGGTCACAACCATTTGCTAGAAGGAAGCCACTTGAATTAAAAGCTAAAAAGATTGACAGTTAAATCCCTGTTCTTTCATAACGTGCTTGTCTGTGTTTTCGCTGTAGCTTGCACCGCGAGAGAAGGCAGCAATGAATTACAATCAGAAGCTGAAGGAGAAGTTCCAGTTTCACCCCCAGATCAGGCGCATCGCTCAGCACCGTCACTTGCCCAAGAGCATATATTGCCAAATCAAGGAGCAACGCATCATGAGAGAGGCTCGTCGGCGAAAGTATGTCATCCTCTTCTGGATTTGTTTTCTCTTCATCTTAAAACGTGCATCACTGCAGTGCTGCTGCAGCAGCAATGGATGGGAATGATAGAGATACGGCATGTGGGAGGAACGAGTATGAGCTACTTTTAACATCTGAACGAGTGATCACGAACTACTGGGTTGATTATAAGGAAAATGCTTTGTTTAGCATGACATGATGCCACGTGGCAATGGAAGCAGAATGGGCTGTGTTTGGTGTGGTGGGTTTTTTGGTTTTGTTTGGGTTTTTGTGGGTTTGTGTTGTTTTGGGTTTTTTATGTAATGTGAGACTCCATGATGAATGTTTGCTGTCACCTAGATCATTGCCATATTGGAATTTCTAGGAGCAGGAGGTGGCATACTTTGCTGTAGCCAAAGCTAAGCTAAGAAGTGGGTTTTAGTCATCTTTATCTGCTGAAAGACTCTACAGACTTGAGCAGCCAATCCTGTCACATGAAAATCAAACTGAGTTCCCAAGAAAAGGCTTAATTTGAAACTTCTCTAAATTAACCAACTTTAAAGTTACTTTTAAAAGGAACAGTATTTCTTCCTGAAATAGGAATACGTGGCTAGTGATTAATAAAAGAAGAGCAATTCTTTTCTTTTTCACTTGTAGGATGTCTCCATTAATACCTTGAGGAGGAAGCTGTTATTTGTTTAACATTTGTGCTGACTACTGAATTTCATTTTTCTGGTTTTTTTTTGTTTCTAGGGAACTGAATCGTCGCAAGCACAGCAAACCGGGATCTGTGCCATTTGTGTCAGAGAGGAAGAAACATATTGTGGCGGTAGTGAAATAATTGTTTTCTCATGTACAAAATGTCACAATGAAAGAAAAATGTCACTATTGAATGAATACACTGTACAAAATTGATGGACATTGGTAAGACAGCACATGGCTCCAGGAACGGGGCTTTTCTTCAACTTTATACATCCTCTGACTTCTGAAGTCATCATCTGCTTTGGGTACTTATGAGAATTAGCACTGTAATCTTTCACTGCCATTTGTCTGTCTGACGTTACTGCCCCAACACTGGGTATTGCAGTGCAGTTTGACCCTTTTGATACAAGCAGATAACTTGGTGGAGAATGTCTGTAGTTCCTGTCTTATTTCTTGGTACTGTTACTACAAAAAAAGGATGAAATAGATTCTTATTTATCAAAGCAAAAAAACCCTTGTTCCAAACAGAGTTATAAAATTGATTCTCCTTATGCTGTCTGGTTTTTAATTTTTATTCAAACAAATTTAATAAAGAAAACAAGTGACCTTAAGGCAATGGACTAGATCTTGATTATTCCAACTTAACAAATATCCTGCATTATACTTCTTACATACAATATATTATCTTTCTTTTATCCAAAAGGAATTTTGTAGTATTTTCTGACATCTGTAAACATAATTTTGTTCTGTCTTCTTAACTATTGTTATATAACTTGACAAAACTTCAGACTGTTAAGTTCCTAAAATTGACAATGACGTAGTTGAATAATTTTTTCTCTTTAACTTATTTAAAATTTCTAAAATCTGGATGAAAGATAACATAAATTGTATAAACCACGGAAACTTCTTTAGATGAGATTTATCATAAGCCTTCTATTTTAAATTTATAGAAGAAAAACAGAAGTTTCATGCTTCACAAGGTAGGTACCTGTAGCCCAAACTTCCCCTGTTTGTCTGGGAAATGTTCTGCTTCTCTTCCTGTGGGATAAACTTCTTTTACTGAAGATACTAAGGTGATCAGAAAATGATGCTGGAATTCAACTGGGCTTTCTAGGATGAAAGCTTCTCTTTCGGACAGATGAGATATGTAATAACAATAATTTTGCTTAGCATCTTTTGTACAAAAGGATCTTCTTTAACCTTTGCACTATGGTGCAGTCTGTAACAACACTCTCCCCACCCTGAGTTTATGCACAAAAAATAATTAAAATTATAATAAACTTTATACTTTTAAACTTTTTTTTTTTTTAGTCTGGAAATTAAACACTTTGAGCACTTCCTTTCCTGTAGTATCCTGTTCAATGTATCTACTGACACTAATCCATATGCATTTCTAGTTCTTACTCTTTCAGTTGTCTCTTGCAGTACTGTTTGGGCAAGATTCCTGAATCATCATAGCAAAATTATGGCTCTTTGGTGATAAGAGGCCATAATGTATCTTTTACTCTGGACCACTTACCTTATGGGATGATGCAGGAAGAGAAGGAAATATGAAGAGCTATAAGTAGGATGATGGGAAGGAGTGGAACAGATCAGGGAATAGACTGATGCTGGCTGTGTGCCTGTTGTACTAATATAGTGTGCTCTGTGCCAAATACAGTTTATTTCCTTCCTAAAATACTGAAAAAATTGAGGGAAAATATGCAGTCCAAAGTATGGCTTGTGACACAGCTGTAGTCAAGTCTTGCACAATTTGCAAAACCAGACTAATCTTCTAAAATGTGATTAAAAATTTTCAACCTTGTCAGTTTAGCTTGAGTTGAAGTAGTTGGTTCTTGATTTGTTGAGTCATGATACCTCTGGTTTGAGCAAGCCCTGTTGCTTGGAATTTATGAGCTTTGGTGCAGAACTCTGAATGTAACGAGAGTTTTCATTTTCAAGGTTTGGTTATGGTGTGATATTGATGTGAGCAGTATGGCATGAGCTATGGCCAAAGGATCTTGTTATGCTCCAAGACCTTTTTTGCACAGTTGCTTTCAGACAGGACCCAAGTGGTGCAACTCAGAGGAGCAGGGTTGGCTAAAAATTGCTAGAAGGGTTGTAACAGCATGCCGAAAAAAGGAATTTTAAAGTTAGGAGGGTACTTTGAGTCTGTGCATTTGGTTATGAATTCCTTTTCCAACTTCAGTGGATGTAGTCATACATAGAGATCTGTCTTGGCATCAAGTGGGGTGCCCTCTTAGCATTCCAGGAATAAGTCTGTTTTCCAAAATCAAATCTTGCTATGACTTCTAGAAACATACTAGTTGTAAAACCAATGTAGGTCTGAGTTGGGGCTTTCTGGTTGGAAATCAGTCATTTGGAATTTTGCAGGTGGCATTTGCAATCTGTCAGTTCTGAGGATCCCTGGCCATGGATTTTTACACTGTTGGGCTGGCTGCAGTTGCTTTATCCCTTTTGAAAACTCTTTCAATTTGCCTCTGAAATAATCATTGTATGTAAAAAGAATATGGATACATGCATCTGCATGTGTGTGTACCCAAGTGTATGCAGAATAAAATCCTTAACATCACATAAGATATTGAAAATATAACGAATAATTAAGGAAATAATAATAAGGAAAAATACTAGTATTTGCCTTCAAAATTTTGGTGTCATTGACTGAGGGGAAAAAGGGACATGATGGTTTATTTTCTAAATCAATGCAGTGCCTACAGACCTGCTGATTAAAAAAAAAAAGAATTTCTGTACGTATTCTTACTTTGTGAAGATACTCAAAGAGTATTTTGAAAGAGAAATAGCTTCTTTAATGCAGAAATACTTAAATCAATATTCATAGGATTAGTAAATTGTAGATGTTTCGTGATAGAGCAGCTATGGAGTCATCAGTGTTTTATTCTGCTTTGTTGTAACCAAGCTATGTAATGAAACAGATAATTTCTTTGACCCTATGTATGTTCTAGATATTTAAAACAAGCTAAATGGCCTCTCAGGTATATGGAATATGTAAAAATTTTAGACCAACTAAAGAATTTGACAGGAGTTTTTTTTTCCAGTGTTGGTGTGGGCATTCTTCACTGTGCTCATTGTAGAATTCCCTGGCCTTTAGGACCAGGGCTTTTTTCCTCTCCCAAGCCAAAGGACCCCAGGCTGTTGTGATTCTGTATCAGCAAGCCTGTAACAATACAAAACAATACCTGTGTGCACACCCACACGCAATACAAACAACAAGCACAGGGCCAACCACAGACCCACAGGGGCAGAGTGCAGCACCTGTACCCGCACCTGTGTAAACAGGGCTGTGCTCTGGGGTCGCTGCTGCGCCCTCTTCTCTCCAGCTGGCCAGGACTGAACCTCACCCTGTGCACGAATCTCTGCCTGTGGTGCCTGTGGGGCTCTGGTACCTGCTGTGTGTGAGGCAGGAGTCCAGGCAGTGATTGCCAGTCCAGCCCGTGTCTCCCAGTTGCTGACCCCTGGACTCTCAGGTCCCTCAGATATGTGGTCCTGCTCCAGTGGCTCATACTCCTATTGTCCTGCTCATGGGCTAGTCCCACTTGAAGTTTGCTAGCCTTGACAGGTACATGCACACAAGACCAGTTAGAACTAGGGTGCAATGAGAATATGGGATGGACTGCAGCAGTGAAGTGCAAGACTCATGCCGTGAAGTGTAATTGGGAAGCTGTCCACATGGGACTGGCCCCCTTTATCCTCTGTCTTTGGGTTCTCCATGCCTGGTTGTCTTCAGTCTACCTTAGTCCTTCCCTTTACATACCTTTAGTGGTTCCCTTAAACATCCCAGAGTAAATTTTGCACATTGCTACAATACCCTAAAAAAATCTGTAATAAATTTTAAGAGTCCCTAACTTCTCTCTGTTCTGTCCCGGAATTCTTATTGTATCGTGTAAGAAGTCTTATAAGCCTTTGGGTAATGCCTCAGTTTGCTAGGGAGTTTCCTACACTTGTTTTGTGGGTTTTGCACCACGAGCAGTGATCTGGATCATTCCCCTTCCATGTTTTTTAGGACTAGTGAGTCTGTGCACTCAGTTTTCACTAACTGTTCTTCTGATCCTTGCGATGGCTTTGTGTTTACCTGCTTAGCCTAGTCAGATAACCTAACATGGTCTGTTATATGAAAATATCTCTGCAGTACCTTCTGATCCCAGTGAGTGGACCAAGAATGTGGTGGATGCAGTCGAATTCATCTTGCTTAACCTTAGATGTCTGCACTGCAGGCATAGTGAACAGCTTTGCACACCTGATCTATACTCGGCGGACATAATTATATATTTCAGGAGATGTTTCTCCCATCCTTCAGACATTTATATTATTATTTAAAACCTTGTTTTATTTTATAATTAATATCGTGATACAAAAGGTGGCTAGTTAACTTGTAAATATCTGCCAAGGCTTACACGGAATTGCACACAGAAGTAACTAGGTTTAAGACGGTCAAAACCAGTGAGAAGTGAATACCTTCTGCACTTTCTGGAAGTTCTTGTCTGCTCCTCAGAACCACAAAAGTCTAAAAATATTTGAAGGGAGATGAGTGAGATTTTGTAACTGAGGACAAAGAAATTTCTGGATAATGGTTTTGGGAAATAAGCTCAGTGTTACAGTAAGAGAAAGATGGAAAGGGGTTTGAAGAAGAGGGACCTTAATTAGAAAGAAAAGACTGTGATGTGCTCACCTAGGACTTCTGGGACTTTAAACAGTATGTGAAGAATTCTAGGACAAAATCAAAGATCATAGTTCAAATACCACCAACTAAAAACTGCTGAAAGTGTCATTCCTTACTATGTTAAATGAAAAAAATACATACTTCCTCTCAGTTGAAGATTGTGTTCTTTATACGCAGTTTGAAACAAATTTAAGGACTTATTTTCAAAGGTAATGGGTAATGACTTTTGCTGACTTTAGGCAGAGCTGCTGTTTTTCAGTGCCTTAAAAGTTTGATCTGGGATCTCTGAGGTTTTTAGAATATATAGTGGAAGATCTTGGGGTTTGAAATTTTTCTTATGTTAATAAATGTTAGTATACTTAGTGATTTCATTTTATCCAAGGCTGGAGCAGTTTCAGCAGATGCAAACAATGTGTGTTCAGTGGGTAGATGGAAATGATCAGGAGTTTATAGCATGTTGCATCATGTTTTCTGCTTTTAGAGCTTATGTGGGCAAAACCAAAGATCTTTCAGCAGACAAAAGAGCATTGCTGATTATTAAGAAGATAAATGGATGGAGATCATATTTTGACTGTCATTGTAAAAATGTGATTAAAAAACATAGTAGGATAGAAACCCACAGATTTAATATAGATTTAGCAGACATGTTGCACTCACATATTTATTGCAAGACTGACATCTAAGCCTCTAACTTGTATTCAACCAGAGTGGAATTATTTGAAGATGTGGCTTTTTTCTGAGAACCTTATTGTAGAATATGACAATTTTTTTTCAGCAACTTGAGAAATGTCATTAATTTACAAAACAGTGTATGAAAACTGTCACTGCATAAGGTACAAGTGAATGGTGGGATGTAGCAAGGGATAGGGGACCTGTTATATCTGCTAAGAGAGGCCATCTCATCAAACACCTGCATGAAACAAGTCCACTAGTTCATGACAGAGCCAAAGCTTATCAACAGCTGCAGAGTCCCAGTCTGGGTGCTCCTGCTTTTGCTATCTGGGGCAAACATCCCTGGTTAACTAGGCAGCAGCATTCGGTCATTACTCATTTCCCTTTCACTTTGTCTTGCAAGAACAGCTGTTGGCTGTTTTTCTGCACTTTGAGATCTAGGGTAGAGATTGAACAGTACCTGGGGATGAAATCACTTCTTCCTATTTGTAAAACTGTTTTTATTAGAGGGTTACAAATTTTTCAGCATTATGGTTTTCATTCTCTTCTGGCTTTGTTCTCTTCACATCCCTGCTTCCCAAAATAGCTCCTTAGAAGTTCTTGCTTTCTCTATGGTCATCATGGACTCAACTGTATCATTTAGCATTTGCTAATCAGAAAATGGAAATACCTCTTTCTTGAGGTTATTTCTACCATATAATATCTGCTGGAATATTACCCTGAATCCCTCCAAAAATGAGAATTGTTAGGCTCTTGAAGACCTATGGTTGCTTTAACCATTTGCAGATGCCTACAAACTTACCCTATGGTTTGCATAGCATTTGGAATGTATTAAGGGAAAGGAAACCTGGTCTCAAAAACACTTGGAGGATGAGAAGACAGGAGAGCCAAAGAGGAAGGATTATTACCAGAATATAACAATGTTTTGCAAACTGGC